TGTGTTTTTTTTTTTTTTTTTTTTTTTTTTTTTAAGCTTCTGGTATTTAATTTCTAGGTGAGAGCTGAGCCATCTCACCTACTTAGTCCTTTAAAGCTCTTCTGAATATTTGTTCTATACAGTTAATTTTATTGGTGGCTACGAAGTTAGCTTTTTCTTTTACTACTGACAATAATAAGTATGATCTCAAGGGCAAATTATGACCTTTTATGGGATATATTTCTTTTTTTCAGTTTCTATCTATTGCTTTCTGCTACTTTTTGTGAAATTGGTGTCCATCAAACTGTTTATTGGCTTTGCCTTCAACTACTGGCTTTGAGTTCTAACTGATCAAATTCTAGTTTCTTTCTTTCTAAGTCTTATGGTTATAGTAATTTACTTTTAGCAGTTATTTGCCTACCACAGATGCCACTTCATATGAATGCATGGAAATTTACTTGCACTTCAAGCACCCCTTGTCTTATCCTCTATTCCCTGAGTAGTATAGTTTATCTCAAAGGATCAACCCCTTAGTAGTTTGGCTTTAAATGTTTACTAAACTATTTGGTCTGTCAGTCTGTTCATTATTGTTTAAAAATTGTGGGTTAGAACCACAATCTGTCCTTTGCTAGAAAAAAAGGATATATAGTTATCTTGGTACTGAGACAGATAATGTGAAAGATGAAATTATAAATACTTTATTTCATGAACTCTAAAATGAAGACTCTTAGAGCACCAGATTTCAGAGAGATTAATACATTGTTTAAAAATCTCAGAGTAGATGAAATACAGTAAATTAAATCATCATGGGATATTATATTCCATGTCTGTAAAAATAGTGAAGGCATTCTACCCCCTCCTTCCCTCCTGTCCCTTAGTGTGGTATGTATGTATAAAAATGGAGACCTAACTCTTTTGAGGTATAAGTATAGAATATGGCTGGGTTAGAATATGGAAGGAATTGTGGAAAGATGAATCAAGTTAGAGTTAGATAGAGTCAGTAACTTTATCCTTTTCCCCCCCAAATTTCCTCTCCTGCTCTCCCCTTCTTCCCCTCCTGTCTTTCTTTTTAAGCAAAACTTGGGAAGAACAATTCTTAATTTAAGGAAGAGGAATCCAGAGGTAATCTGTAATCTTCAGTAGCTTTTGTGATCTAAGAAAGTCAGTTACTAGGTAGAGGAAACAAAGAAACACCTGCCTTCTTCATATCTTGAAGTGGTTTATGGTTTTTGAACTAAGCTTACAGCCACAACTTAACTTTTTTCTTAAATAAATTGATCTTTAAAATACTTCATTTTGCATTGTTGAATTCAATTATACAACAAAGAACATAAATCTAAATTTATTTTTCTTCACAGATCAGTGCTAATATCTTCCGTACGCTTCCTCCAAGTGATAATCCAGATTTTGATCCAGAAGAGGATGAACCCACACTTGAGGCCTCTTGGCCTCACATTCAAGTATGGAACAAAATTATGTACTGATAGTTTTTTTATTTATGATATTTTGCTGAAATCATGGTTTTCTCTTTTAGATTCTGAGTATCTGTTTAAAATATTTGACTTTTAATATGTTTTGTTAACATTATTTTCTTTTCTGAAAATAATTGTTTTTCATGTTTTTTTCATTGTGATAAAATATACTGTTTTAGTCCGTTTCGTGTTGCTATAACAGAAATACCTGAGAATGGGTAATTTATAAAGGAAAGAGATTTATTTGGATTATGATCCTGGGACAGCTGCATCTGGCACAGGCCTCAGGCTGCTTCTACTCATGGCAGAAAGTGGCAGGCAGCTGGCAGATCACATGGTGAGAGGAAGCAAGAGAGAGAGAGAGAGGAGGTGCCAGGGTCCTTTAAACTATCAGTCTCGCAGGAACTAATAAGAGTGAAAACTCACTAACTACCTCTCCTCCCCCAGGGAGAGCATTAATCCATTCATGAGGGATCCGCCCCCATGACTCAATCAGTTTCCAACACTGCCACATTGGAGATCAAATTTCCACATGAGTTTTGGAGGGGACAACACATCCAATCTCCATCATATACTTAACATTGACCATTTAATCCATTTTAAAGTATGCAATTTAATAGCATTAAGTACATTCACAATGCAACCATCACCGCTATCTAGTTCCAGAACTTTTTCATCACCCCAAATGGAAATAGAAACCACCTTGTCATTAGCAGTCACTACCTATTCCCCCATCTTCACAGCCCCTGAGAACTACTAATCTGCTTTCTGTCTTTATGGATTTGCCTATTCTGGATATTTCATATAAATGGAATCATATAATGTGGCCTTTCATGTCTGGGTTCTTTCACTTATATTGTTTTCAAGGTTCATCAATGTTGTAGCATGGATCAGTACTTCATTTCTTTCTATGGCTGAATAATACTTGTATTTCATCATATGGATATACCCATATTTGTTTATCCATTTACCAGTTCATGGACATTTAGATTGTTTCCACCTTTTGGCTATTGTGACTAGAGCTGTTATGGACATTCATGTACAAGTTTTTATTTCAACATTTGTTTCCCGTAAGTTTTCATATGTTGTGTTTTTGTTTTTATTCATCTCAAAATCTTTTCCAATTTCCCATGGGATTTCTTCTTTGATCCATTAGTTATTTAGGAATGTGTTGTTTAATTTCTATTTGTGACTTTCTCAAATTTCCTTATATTAATGATTTCTGATTTTATTCTTTTGTATTTGGAGAATGTATGATTTCAGTTCTTTTAAATTTATTGAGACTTATTTATGGCTTAGTATATGATGTATCCTGGAGAATGTATCATGTGTGCTTGAAAAGAATGCCTGTTCTATCCATTATTGAAAGTGAGATATTGAAGTTTCTATTATAGTTGAATTGTCTGTTTCTCTCTTCAGTTCTTACAAGTTTTTGC